TGTTTTCATGGGGCTGTGTTTGTCCCTCTGTGTTCCAGCTCGCCGGGTCTGGAAGAACTACCTGCCTGCCATCAACGGGATTGTCTTCCTGGTGGACTGTGCAGATCACTCGCGGCTTATGGAATCCAAAGTTGAGCTTAATGTAAATATACTTCTCTTTTTTTCCCCTTTCCCAAGACCTAAATTACAAATAATAGTCCTTTTTTGGGCTGGAACTTGTGCAAAGTGTGTTTTGAGAGTCTCATGCTTTGGATTGGGCACTTCCAGTGAGAAGCCTGGATGCCCTTACTCTGGGTGGAGCACAGGCTCTGGAGTTCAGGGGAGGTTTGGTTTGGACATCAGGAGGAACTTCTTGCTGGAAGGGGTGGTCAGGCCCTGGAAGGGGCTGCCCAGGGAGGTGGCGGAGTCCCCCTCCCTGGACGTGTCCAAGGAACGACTGGACGTGGCACTCAGTGCCCTGGGCTGGGCACAGGTTGGACTTGATGGGCTGGGAGGTCTTTTCCAACCTAACTGAGTCTTGTGAGTCTTCCCCAGGAGCATGGAAGCACCAAAAACCAGCCCTTGTTGGTCACAGAGCTTAAACAAAACCATTTTCTTCCAACAACAGCTCTTTTTTACTGCCTCTGCTGAACTCTCCCTCCCTCTTGCCCACAGGCCCTAATGACAGACGAGACAATATCCAATGTGCCAATCCTTATCCTGGGTAACAAAATCGACAGACCCGAGGCCATCAGCGAGGAGAAACTGCGGGAGATCTTTGGGCTCTATGGACAGACCACGGGAAAGGTAGGGAGGCATCCAGGCCTTGGATCTGGAGGGAGGGCTCGCCTGTTTCCTTTCAAAGGGAGGCTCCATCCAGAAACTAATTCAGCTCTCACTGGCAGTTTGTCCACAGGATTGGCCAAGGTGAATCAATAATAATGGTGATGGTTCCTTCCAGTGCCTGAAGGGGGCCTACAAGAAACATGGAGACAGACTATTTACCAGGGCCTGGAGTGACAGGACAAGGGGGAATGGCTTCACACAGACAGAGGGCAGGGTTAGATGGGATAGTGGGAAGGAATTGTTCCCTGGGAGGGAGGTGAGGCCCTGGCACAGGTTGCCCAGAGAAGCTGTGGCTGCCCCATCCCTGGAAGTGTCCAAGGCCAGGTTGGATGAGGCTTGGAGCAACCTGGGCTAGTGGAAGGTGTCCCTGCCCATGGTAGGGAGATGCACCAAGGTGTTTTTTAAGATCCCTTCTGTCCCAAACCATTCCACGATTGGACAGTGCCGATGCCCTCGGGCAGGTTTTGAAACTGCCAGAACTGTACAAAAGGTGGGGGGCTGTGAGAGGGGTGTCCCTGGATGGTGGTGGCTTGCTGGGCGCTTCCCTGAGGGCTTCAGGGGTGCAGCTCTGACTCCTGTTTGGATTTCCCCAGGGAAACGTGCCCCTGAAGGACCTGAACGCGCGCCCCATGGAGGTGTTCATGTGCAGTGTGCTCAAGAGGCAAGGCTACGGCGAGGGCTTCCGCTGGCTATCGCAGTACATTGACTGACACGAGAGTTCCGCTCCTCTGGACTGATCCTGTTCACAGCTTGCTATGGACTTTTCTATTAGACACGGAAGGCTTTCCAACCGCATTGACCAAGAGACTCCTGGTTTTCCGGCTGCCCTTATGGCACAGTGGTGACACCGCTCTTTTCCACGCGGTGGGGAGGCAGCGCCGTTCCGCAGGAGTTGTCCCTGGCAGCGGGGCTGCTCCGGTCTGGGAAGTCAAAACTCTGCACGCTGCTCTGTAACAGCTGAAAAAGAGAGCACGTCTCACCACTGTGGTTTAATTGACTTCAAAAAAAAAAAAAAGAAAAAAACGAAAAGGAAAAAGCAATTATATTTTTTAAAGAAAGTGTTAATGTAAACGGCGTCCCTCCTAACTTTTTAGTTTAACGTTCATCTTGTTTAGTCCAGAGTCTGGTTTAGGGTTTTTTAAAAATATATTTAACGATATTTAGGTATTTCACGAATTACTGAACCAAGGTATCACGGTATTAGAAGTCCTCAATAAACATAGCATTTGGGCTTAACTGAGCTGTAGGGTGGCTGTGCTGTGTCACGCTGACCGACAACGACATCAACGACGTGCCGTTGGGACTGAGGTGTGCAATCCCAGCTTCTTTAGTTTACAGGGATTTTTTTTTTTTATTTTTCCTAGTTGGAGAGGAGCACCTGGTGCAGGTTTGGGGGGTGGTGTCCGGCACTCGCTGACAGTGGGAAGGGGCTGCCTGGTTCCACCTCAGGCCAGACTCTCCCATCGAGGGCGTCGGGTCCTCTGGCTGCGCCATCGCAGTGAGAACCACAAAGCTGTTTTGGTTGTTGTAAGCATGGAAGTGTTTGACATTTGCATATCATGAAGTTATTAATGTAGACTAAACCGGTTTCTTTTATACTCTCGATGGACTTCTTTTGTCTGAAGTTTCATTACTGTCTGGCACTCATTTTCAGTTCAATAAAGAC